GGAATGGGTGAGCTCTGTGCTGCTGTGAGGATTCTGCTTATTTTGTGTCTGAAAGACCAGGACACATGGGTAAAGAATGCCAAGTCCCTCTATATGTGTGAAAGTTACTGGCCAAGGAAATGGATAGCTTGGTAGTTTGTACCAACAGAATACTGAGGAACAGTGGTGGATGCATATAAGACAGTGAGGTAGTGTACTTTATACAGCTGTTATTTCACTGTATAGGTTACCACATTTGATAAAAGCTGCCTTTCGTGCCTCAGTTTCTGTGTTTGTAAAATGAGAATGCCACTACTTTCCTTCTGGAGAGACGTAGATAAAAAGGATTGTAGAAAAAAGAATTACTATTCTGTGACTACAGTGTTTCCATTAGGTTTTGCTAGTTCTGCTTAGATAAGTTTATTTTGTGTGAAGTAGCATATACCTGAATTTCCCACACTTTACTATAGGGAATACCTAGATCCAGTATTCGCAGTATTCTAAGGTATTAGCTAAACCTATTAGCAAGTTTTATAGATGATTGCTTTATCTCGGTGTCTGAGTATCCTTAAGTACAACTGGATGTATAAGTGTAGATTTCTCTATGTCTGCCTCTATATAAGAGATAGGCAAAATATGGCTTGCAGGCTGGAAGCAGCCTGCCAACCACTTGGATCTGGCCTGAGGGTGGGGGGAGCAAATATTTGGAGCTGGCCTGTGGCTGACCCTGTGGTGCTCCACATGGGGCTGAGCCTCGCCCAGGGCATCCCACGCCATGCTCCTGCCCACATCTGCCAGCCCCAGTCTGGGTCAGCTTGCACAGCTTACCAGCAGGGCTGCTCCTGATGCAGATGCAGCTTCCTGGCTGCTTCTCAGCATCCCTTGCTTCCAGCAGCGGCTCCTCCTCCTATTCCTGCCGCTGCAGCACTATTGTGGATGGGAAGAAGCTTCAGCTGGGTGGCTTGTGCCCCAGAACGTGGGGCAGTGGGTCCAGCTCCCAGCTGCCTTTTACCCACTTGGCCACTCGTGCTAGGTGGGCAGAGTGGGTGGAAGGCAGCTGGGAGCTGGAGCCCCACATGCTGGGGCAGGAGCTGCCTGGCTGAAGCTCCCACCCCTCCCAGAGTGGTGCAGTGGGGCAGGAGGAGGAGCTGCCACTGGAGGTGTGGAGAGCTGAGCAGCACCACCTGAGTGGCTGCAGCCACACCAGGAGCAGCCCTGCCAGTCAGCTTTGCATGCTGGCTGGGGCCAGTCCAGCAGGTGCAGGCAGAAACATGGTACAGGCTGCCCTGGGAGGGGCTCGGCCCCATGTAGAGCACCACAGGCGCAGCCACAGACTGCACTGTCCAGGCAAGCTGTGCTGCATGTGCCCCCTGCCCTGCCCCTCCCTCTGCTCACCCCTGGCCAGGTCTCTGGATTTAGCATCCAGTCAGCTCCCTCCCCACCAATGTGGGCAAGACCCCCTACCCTCTACTCCTTCCCCTGCCCCACCCCTGGACAGGAGTATGCAGGAAGTGGATCACAGCTCTGTCTTGGGTCCTGGCCCCATGCAGTCACCACCCTGCAACCCTGCCCTGTGATTCCAACCTCATTTGGTTTTCCCACTCCGAAACACTGCTCTTCACCGGCCCGCTAGTGGCTCCACCCCACATAGGGAGTTGGTGAGTAATTGTTGGAGGGAGGCAGGGTGCTGACCTGGCCCACGACAGCTTGTCAAGATCTCTATGTGGTCCCGGGCCTAAATAATTGTGTCATCCTCCCCCTCCCCCCGTGCTCTATATCCTTTTGGTATTAAATTGAGAAATACCAAAGAAGTATGATCTAACTGCCTAACACAGGGCCTTTTAAATGGGGTTGGACTCTGCCATTTCAGCTGCATTTTTTCTCCTCTGCTCTTCTCTTGTTTATATTGATGGCCTGATTATAAAATTCATACTGCAAGTGTGTTCAAGAGAAAAAAAAAGCATGAGAATAAAAAATAAAGATAATTGTGCTCTGAGTTCTAACCCTTTCCAAATGCACCATATGAGCAAGCCTTTAAGAGTAACAACATGGATGGCTGTAAGGCATCATTTTTCTGGAATATAAGGAAGCAAATTTGAAATACATGTTTTCCTGATGAGTTAGTTGATTTTACAAAAGTGAGTGTTTTCCTTCTCAGGTTAGTAATGCTTGAAACCATTTTCCCCACTCCCCCAAGTTCAGCAAGCAATAAAAGAATAGGACAGAGCTTCAAGCAAAACAACTCTCCTTCTCTTCCTCTGTCTCTCTCTGTCTATCAGGATAAGAAAAGTCAATAGGAGCACTAGGGGCATGCAGTATTAGGCCTCTGCCTGGATTCCTCTGTTTGGGATTTCCTGGGCGCACAATGCTCCAGTGTGGTTTCAGGGTTGGGGCTGCACTGGAGAGAGTTTGACACCAGTTCCAGGGCTGGGACCATCAGTCTGCTGGTTGGCAGTCTAACCCATGAGATGGCACTAAAGCTAGCATGCCCTGCTTACTGAGAGGTACCCTGGAGATTCCCCAGGGCATGTCTCTACAAGTAGGGAACACATCACCCATTGTCCTGCAGGATCAATAGGTGGGACAACAGGAGACTTGTTTTGCCCAGTGAAGTGTATCAGCTGTTCTGGGACACATACTGGCACAGCTGATCCACTTCATTGGGCATTTATATCTTTAGTGACTGCACCCACTGAAACTCCATATGGGTTCCAGATCTACAGTAGCCCTTCCTTGTGCATCCTATGACAATGTGTCTAACTATTCCTTTGCAATATTGGCCTTTATGGAAGTTAGTCATCCATGGGACTCTTGTATTTCTTCACATGATCTTAGTTGATTCCTGGAACTGGGGGTTTCACTAATGGGAGCTAAAGGGATTTTACTCCCCAAAGCAAACTGGAGAACTAGCCCTAGTCAAAGCATGTCCCTGTCACACCTTCTCTCACATTGAGAGCTTAATGGAAGTTTGACCATTTGTTGATTTGCTGCAGCAGAGTGATCTGGTTTAATTCCTGCCTGGTAGACAACCGTTCCAGATGGCAGTTACCTATCCAGTTACTAGAATAGCTGCACTCAATTAATTTCTGATGGGAGTTTTTTCCTGGAGCCCCTGAAGTTACAGCAGGGTTGATTTTGGCCTTCTTTGCATGTTCCTTGCATATTGCTGAAAGCCAGGACTTCAGCCATCCGAAGAGGGCAGCTCTGCTAAAAACAAGCAGCCGTATGGCCGTACTGTGTTTATATTAGTTCAAAGTGACTGTGTGTGCATCTTGCGGTGCCTTTGGAGCCTGGGAAGCAATTCACTGTAAATAGAATTTCACTGTGTCAGAGTTCATTAAAGAAGTGATCCACTGTGTCTGTGATTTTATGCAAATGGATTCACGTTAGTAAATCCATGCCCTGAGGTGCAAATAGCTTTAAAAAGACCATTTAATTTGATTTAGGTATGCTGGAAATCAGCACTGGGAGAAATTCCTTACTGTTTATATTAAAAATAAAAGCCTTTGAATTAAACATGGACAAGGGGAGGGGTTAAATCCTGACTTCCATTTTGTTATGCCACATGTCTCCGTTTTGCTAGAACGCTCCCCGCTTGCTGTTAACTAACTTGGCATCATCCAAAGCCACACAGGTATTAAAAATTTCATGTCTTTCCTATTAAGACCAGAAGCCCATTTTAATTAGTCATCAGCAAGGTTCATCATATCATGGTAAATTGCCTTTTGACAGCATTTAAAATACGTTTTGATACTGTGGTTTGATTTTAAATATACAGTTTGTGTTTTTCTTTTCTCCCCAGACTCTTGAGCCTTGTTCAGGATTATCAGATGCATATTTATACTTTATCCAAATGTGGCATTTGTGAACCATGCATATGAACAATTCACTTGTCCATTTCTAAATGATTATTTGTGTATTCAAGCTTATTAATAGGATTCAAAGTAATTCATTAACACTGTGGCAAAAACCCATGCAGTTTAAATGTTTTCCTCCTAAAGCTCAGACTTTTTTTTTCAGCTTCTTGATTCTGAGAGGTCCATAGCTCTGTTATTTGTCTGAATCCCTTCCTGTAAATGTAAATCAGTACCACCGAGTGTTGGATTAGGTATTGGAATAGATGGAGTACATTTAGCATCATTATGGGTAATGAAACACCATTGCAATCAAGCTTGCTTCTTAGAAATAAATGCAATTTCTAGTAATGTACAGTTATAAAGCTTGGGCCAAAGAGTGAAATAAGGGTGATTTCTTTTTCCTTAGATAGTCTCATTTAAGCTATTAAGCTTTTAATATTTCTGTGTTTATTTTGGTTTTCTTAGACATTTGGGAGGGTTTTACATGTTTAGTGTTCTCTCTCTTTTCTCACTTTTCTCACTCATATGTACATAAACACCCTCTTTTTAAATTATTGGGGGGTCATCTCATCATTTTGTGTTTGTACACCCTAGTGCCTGTGGCATTATAGTCCATCCTAAGCCTTATGAAATTTTCAGTTTCTGAAATATTCTACATTCTTCATGCCTGGTCAGTCTCCTGAGCTAGGGAAGAATGTCATGGTAGGGATTATGGAGGTTCCTCCTGGAATAGTCCACATCTCGTCTCTTCTCTCTCCCTAGTCGTGCACTGAAAAACCAGTAGAGCATGTGTGGTTCAAAACAAAAGCACTGGGACTGGGTTACTCCTGGCCTCCTAATAGCATGGAGGCCAGGAGTACCTCTGTCTCCATTTGGTGTGGTTGGCTGGGGAGGCAAACCACCAGTAGCATGTGATGCCTGCTAGAAAAGAGGTCCTGCTCCTGATACTTGTGGTAGGGCTATGGGATTAAGGACTGGCATGGAAACTGTCTAATGAATTTAGTGGAAGTAGGAGAAAGGGGAGCTGGGCCAAGTGACTTCCCGTCCTCACCATGGCAGATGAAAGTGAGAATGTTTTCTCTTGAGTAAAGGCTGTCTATGGTGATACCAAGGCTAAGGGAAGATGCAAAATGTTTCAATCTTTTTTGCTTTTCTCTCAACTAGGTCTGAAATAGATATACTGTCTGCTATCTCTGAGGGCATTCTGATTGGCTACTGCCCACAGCAAGATGCCCTGGATGAACTTCTAACTGGTTGGGAGCATCTTTATTATTACTGCAGACTACGCGGAGTGCCAACACAATGTATCCATAAGGTAGGTATCCATGTTTTATCTCTGCAGAATTGGATAGGGCAACATTGTGCCAGAAAGATCATAGAGCAGTTCTGTTTTCTTGTACCAGACAGAATTCCTGAAGCTGCTCTATTGTGACATGGAGTCCACAGTTATTTGGCTGGCTCAAGGACTGGCTTTGTTCTTGAAGTTAGTTCGAAACATCTTTGGCCATTCAGTTGGGCCCTGCACTCATTAGAGCTGGTCTGGGCCTTGGGATTGGGCTGTGCTTTAACAAGGTGCTGCCATGCAAACAGTGTCCTACGGGCAGTTCAGTAGTCACGTAAAATTCAGCATTCAGTCCCTTCCTTATCAACCCACCTTGTTAGGTTTGATTAAGGATGGGCAGAGTGCCGCAAACATGAAGATTTGCTCCCTTTGCACTAAGGAAAATATATTGCAGGATAATTGTTATTGCATTAAACCTCTTGGCTATAATTACCTGTCATCTTCGTAAAGTGACAGTTCCCTTCTTATGACCAGCTTTTAGCACAACTCTACTCTTTTCCAGATTCCATTATCAGGGCACTTAATACAGACATGGATGGGAACAGCTTCTTGTAGGTCTCATATGGCTGTATATTAATTCAGAGAACATTGTTAAATATTTATAAGCCTTGCATAAGTTATTGAATATTTTTGATCATAAATGTAATTTAAAACAAATCAAGCTTTTATTATTTAATTAGGTGGCAGGCTCTTTTAAGTGCTGTAAGCCTGGTTCTTAATCTTTGTTAAGGTGTCATACATAAGGGCAGTACATCCCTATACTGTACTTATCTACAGTTTTGTTGACAGTCAGTGAACAGAAAGGTATTGGCCAAGTTAGTCTGAAGTCTACTAGAAAGGAGGGCGGACTAGCTGGTTCAGAGAGGCATGAGCTTTCATAGGCAACAGCCTACTTCATCAGATGTTTTACAGATTCATAGACACCAGGGCTGGAAGGGACCTCAGAAGATCATCGAGTCCAGCCCCCTGCCCCAGGGGCAGGAAGTCAGCAGGGGTCATAGGATCCCAGCAAGATAAACATCCAAATGTTTCTTGAAGGTGTTCAAAGTTGGTGCTTCAACCACCCCTGGTGGCAGTCTATTCCAAACCTTGGGGGCTTGGACAGTAAAGAAGTTCTTCTTTACATCCAGCCTGAAACAGTCATGAAGGAGTTTGTGACTGTTCGACCTTTTCATCCCTTGGGGCGCTCTGGTGAACAGACATTCCCCCAGATCCAGGTGAGCACCCTTGATAAACCTATAGGTGACCAGCAGATCACCCTGAAGGCTGTGCTTTTCCAGGCTGAAGAGTCCCGTGGCTCTCAGCCTCTCATAAGGTCTGTTTTCCTGACCTTTGAGCATGCGTGTGGCTCTCCTCTGCACTCTCTCAAGCTTCTCCACTTCCTTTTTGAATTGCGGAGCCCAAAACTGTATGCAGTACT